AGATATGTACGTCATCCCTGAGACACAAAAACATCCTTCCGAGGTGTCCCGGACTCAGCGGAAGCAAGAGCGAAGTTAGGGTTCTAAAGCCCTCCAATGAATGAACCAAAGGCAAAATTGTCATTCTAAACTGAAATGAGTACCATCGTGCACACCATTGGAAAGACAACAAAAAATTAACAAGGATGGACTTAAGAATAACTTGATTCAGAGTCTGGACGATAAAGATAACAAGTCTTAAAGTCGAAAGAAGAGAAACCCCATCCCGGTTCGAACCAAATCCTGACACTACCTCACTAAAATTTGAATATCTTGTTCTATAAGTAGAATCCAAATCTACAATTAGTACTATTGGAAAGCTTATTTCGACGCGGTCAATTTAGACTCAAGAATGGACCAATTCGGAGTTAAAACAAATGATATATGATAATTTGAAGTCAGAGGTGAGGTGCTAAAAAAAGGATAGACGAGCGCTCGTCATAGCGCTCGTAAATGAGCATGCCAAGTCAGTGCCCACTGCCCTGATTACGAGCGCTCATCCCCCAGGGACGAGCACTCGTCCTGTAGACAAGCAAAACAGCTTTTCGAACTTGAAATGTGATTTTGAGGACTTTCCGGACCTTTTTGGAAAACAGTTGTGAAGTAACCCCCCTTAAAATCATGTTTTCTGGTCAACCATGTCAAGACCAACATTTATTTTTCAAGTAATATACCAAAAATGCCCTTAAGATCAGATTTAGCAAAAATGTGAAAATGAATGTTACTCTAAGTGTTCATTTCATCAAGAATGGTGTTGTGTGCCAAAGTGAACATGCACGCATATGTAAAATGATATAGTAGACACACTACAATGGCCTACGGCCTCATTACAATCCATTTACAAATTTCGACATACCAAACCTCCAATTTTCACAAAATAGGCTATGAGGGCACTACTTGTGTTTTAAAACATACTTGTGAACTTTAAAGTTAATGGCCCTTAGCCTTATGTCATACATACAAAATAAGTATTGACAAGTGTACTTAGATACACATTACACATCAAGGAAGCCATCCTAGCTTCAAAAATATCATACATCCATGGTATATAAAATATATCATACAAAAGTAAAGCATGCTAAACAAGGGCATGTCAATATACAAAAATGTTCCAAATTGTTCATCAGGCACTAAGGATGACGAGCATTCGAGAACATAGTTTCCTTACCTGTAAAATAACCCAAACAATTAGAGGGAGTAATCAAGTTACTCTTAGGAAGAAGCATATGCGTATACCCTAAATTTTTAACATCATTGTAAGATTAATATAGACGAATACAAGGGATCATTCCACTTAACGTCTATGTTTAAGGTGTTCTAAGGGATCATCTTAAACTAACTTAAATGATTCTTTAACAACACAATATCAACATCAATGTACTTAACAAAATCAATTCGCTAATAACCACATTCACAAGTCACAATTAAGCACTGGTTGTCAACTTGGAATTGAATGCGAAATCAAATAGTGGAAAACTTGAACATCAAATCTCGGATAAAGCTAGGACCTAAATGGTTATTCTGGGCATTAACCCGTTGGGAATACCACCCTAGTGTGCACTATAAATGGGGAGAACTCATACCTCCCGCACTAGAGCCAAACTCTAGCCATGTCATTTGTAACAATGTCCCAAGAGAAACCAAAATATATCAAGTTCAAAACTCATACACAATTATTAAGGCAAATATACCACCTTCCATGCACAAGTATTTTAAAACCACACAAACCGTATCTTAGGGTTCCAAGTCTATAATGGTATAATAAATGACAAGTTCTCCTCATGATATAATGTGCAATAAAATACCACTAACTTATCAATTCAAATCATGCCTCATTAATAAGCTTTATATACTAAATCTTAACATTATAGTAATAAGTCTCTAAAATAATTGCAAATAGCAACCAACAAGTATATAGAATTATCATTACAATAATTATAGCAATTCAATTTAACAAGACTTGCATATAACATCAATAATTCTACAAGAGTTCTATATTACTACCACATGTGAAAATACTAGTATCTAGCATACCACTAAATCATATACTCTTTTTACATACATATCATACATGCTTCAATCAATAAACCCTAAGTCAAGATGCGAGGGTTTCCTATAATATGCAAGACTATCATATTAAAAGTATATACACAATATATATTAAACCCCAAAGGATTTAAAACAGTTGAAGTATAAACATACTACCACCCATACCTCAATAGATAATTGAATCTTTATAATCCAAAGCAACCAAGCTCAAAATGGAAAACAAATCTAGGGTGTTATAGAGGAGAGTGAGAGGAAACTTTTACTTCCGAAGGTTAATGGTCTTAGATGGGTGGAAGGAGGCCAAATGAAACAAGAAGCTCTAAACCAAGCTTTCCTTCAAAGGTGGCTAGGTTAGGGTTTTGAGAACAAGTGAAATGAAAATGATAAAGTGAAATGTGGTGAGCGGAGGATCTAGTATTCCTCCACTCACTGTATGCTCTTACACTACCTCTCACACATACACAATGCAAGACTTAATTTGGTGTATACACTTGTCACCGATGCATGGCTCCTTCCTAAGCTTAATTCTAAGCCTGCACTTGTCAACCATCCAAGCCAACAAGTGCACCTATCCTAGGCCAACAAGTGGGTGAATCTCCACCCTCCACATTTCACAAGGTTATGCTTCCAAGTAGCTCCACCCTAATGCCAACAAGTGGCTTCATGAGACTGTTACACTTGTCACACTTCCCAAAAATTACAAAAAAGTCCTTTTACAAAATATCTTCCAAATTAAATTGCAAGATGGTCCCTAAGATGAAAAATAATTACTTTGCATAATTTCACTAAAACCCCAAAAATTAAAAATATTTCTAAGAAAGTATGCATCCATGCCCTTTACGAAAAAGTAAACAACTAGTATGTATTTTCTACGAAAGTAAAAATACAATTACCTTGGAAATCAAATATCATGGATGCATGCAAAGCCGGAATCAAATCCAAGCACAAAAAGTGAGGTTATGCAAAGAAAAACGATAAACGGGAAAATAACAAAATAGAGAAAATGACGAAAAAAGAAATTACCGAAAAAAAAAAGAAGGAAAATGACCAGGTCATTACAACCTACCTTCCTTAAAAGGATTTCGTCCCCGAAATCAAGTTGTACCTGAAAGAGAGAACAAACTGGGATACTAAGAGCGAATCTCCTATTCAAGCTCCCAGGTAGCCTCCTCAATGCAGTGATGTCTCCACAAGACCTTAACCAATGGAATGGTCTTAGTCCGTAAGACCTGCTCCCTTGAATCAAGAATCTGGAATGGACCCTCCTCGTAGGTCACGTCCTCATTAACAACATCTCTCTATCATAAAATATACGATGGATCCGGCTCGTACTTCCTTAACATAGAAACATGAAAGACGTCATGAACCCTATCCAGGTCTGACGACAACGCCAAACGATAAGGAACTTCACCGACGTGCTCCAAAATCTGAAATGGCCCAATGAACCTAGGAGACAACTTGCCTGTCTGCCGAAATCTCAGAAGTCCCTTTTATGGAGAAATCTTGAGAAAGACATGGTCCCCAACCTCAAAAGACAAGGATCTCCTCCTCTTGTAAGCATAACTCTTCTGCCTGCTCTGAGCTGTAGCCAACCGTTGCCGAGTCAACTTAATCTTTTCTGTCATCTCAAAGACAATATTGGGACCCAAGGCGACTGTATCACCTACCTCGGTCCAACAAACTAGAGATTTGCAAGGTCTACCATACAATGCCTCAAAAGGTGCCATGCCAATACTGGTCTGGTAACTATTATTGTAGGCAAACTCAACCAAGGGTAAGTAGTCTTCCCAACTACACCCAAAATCTAAGATGTAAGCCCGTAGCATATCTTTCAATATCTGAATGGTACGCTTCGACTGACCATCAGTCTGAGGATGGAATGCCGTACTAAAATGAAGCCTCGTGTCAAGAACCTCCTAAAAACTCTGCCAAAAGTGAGACGTGAATCTGGGATCCCTATCCGAAACAATGGATACGAGAACCCCGTGAAGCCTAACAATGTGCCCCACATACAATCCACTAAGTCTCTCTACATCATCCATCACTGCCATAGGCAAAAAGTGAGCCGTCTTAGTTAATCTGTCAATAATGACCCAAACGGCGTCATTCCCTACCTTGGATCTCGGAAGTCCCGTCACGAAATCCATAGTGATTTGCTCCCACTTCCACTATGCCATTGGTAGTGGTTGCAACAAACCCGCTGGCCTCTGATGCTCTATCTTCACTTGCTGACAAGTAAGGCATTTAGCCACGAACTGAGAAACATCCTGTTTTATACATTTCCACCAAAATTGTCTCCGCAAATTGTGATACATCTATACCACCAGGATGAACTGCGAGTCAAGAATTGTGAAAATCCCGAAGAACAATGTCACGATAAGACAAAGGAATAAACATCTTCCCTCTGTACCTGAGACCACTGTCTAAATGCAAGGTCTAACCCTCTACATTCTCGCCGCCTGAAATCCGATCGTGAATGGACTTCATCTCCCCATCCTCCTGCTGTGCCTCAATAACGCTGCTAACAAGAGCTAGTTGAGCCACAAGGCTGAACAAGATAGCCGGTGAAACATCCTCATATGACTGTAAACCAAGATCTGCAAGCTCTTCTAGCATCTTCCATCTGTGGACGGAAATGCTAGCAAGAATATTCCTTGACTTCCTACTCAATACATCGGCCACCACATTGGCCTTTCCCAGATGATACTGTAACTCAAAGTCATAGTCCTCCATAAACTCAACCCATCTGCGCTGTCTCAAATTCAAATCCTTCTGAGAGAAGAGGTATTTAAGACTCTTATAATCGGAGAAAACCTCGAACTTCTCCCCATACAAATAATGTCTCCACCCTTTCAGGGCAAAGATAACCGCTGCCAACTCCAAATCATGTGTTGGATAGTTCAACTCGTGAGTCTTTAACTGTCAAGACCCGTAAGCTACCACTCGTTCAGTCAGCATCAGAACACACCCTAAGCCTTCTCGCGAAGCATAACAATAGACCACGTAACCCAAACCACGTTCAGGTGTGATCAAAACTAGAGCTGATGTCAACCTAACCTTCAATTCCTGAAAAGCAAAATTACAAGCCTCATTCCATATGAACTTGACTCCCTTGCGAGTAAGTTGAGTCATAGGTGCCGCTAGATAAGAGAAATCCCAAACAAATCTCCTGTAGTAGCCGGCTAGGCCAAGAAAGCTCCGAATCTCAAACACTATTTTCGGACGCTCCCAATCCATCACAGACTCAATCTTCGATGGATCCACTGCAACACCACCCCCTAACACTACATGTCCAAGAAACTTCACCTTCGGTAGCCAAAATTCACATTTCTTGAACTTGGCATACAATCAATTATCCCTAAGGATCTGCAAAATTACTCTCAAGTGATACTCATACTCTTCCCTCAAAACTGAGTACATAAGAATGTCATCAACGAACACCACTACAAATCTGTCAAAATAGTCCCTGAATACACGGTTCATCAAATCCATGAAAGCCGCTGGAGTATTGGTCAGACCAAATGGCATCACCAGAAACTCATAATGGCCATACCGTGTACGAAAAATGGTCTTAGATATATCCTCATCCTTAACCCTCAACTGATAGTAACCCAACCTCAAATTAATTTTTAAAAAGCATGTCGTTCCCTTCAATTAATCAAATAAGTCATCAATCCTAGGCAAATGATACATGTTCTTGATCGTAGCATGATTCAACTTGCGATAATCGGTACAAAGTCTCAAAGACCCATCCTTTTTCTTCGCAAATAGAACCAGTGCTCCCCATGGTGAAGCACTAGGACGAATAAAGCCCTTAGCTTTCAAATCATCCAACTGACCGTTCAGCTCATCAAGCTTTACCGGTGCCATACGGTACGATGCCATAAAGATGGGTGCTGTACTGGGAATGACATCAATGGAAAAAATAACTTTCTTTAAAGGAGGTAACTCTGTCAGTTCCTCTGGAAAGACATCAACAAAATCCTCAACAACTGCTAGAAGAACACGGCCCAAACTACTATCCTCGTCAATTAGCAAAATAGCCAAGTAGGATCTGTGGCGACTCCAGTCACCAATGCTGAAAATCATCATCGGGTGGGAATCACTCCGATCTCCCATAAAATGGAAACAATCTCCCTTGGGACTGCAAACAGACACCTTCCGCGGAAGCAATCAATCGTAACCCGAAATAATGATAACTAATCCATCCCAAGAATGACATCAAAGCCCGTTATATCGAGAACAACGAAATCGATCTCTTAGGTCCGCCCAGCTATCTCAATAGTACAACCCCGACAAACACGATCCAAAGATACTGGACCCACAACTGGCGTATCAACACAAAGAAGACTGTCCCAAAGTGTGACTTCCGGACCCAATGAATGTGCAAATGATGCAGAAATAAAAGAATGTGATGCACCTGTGTCAACAAGAACCCAGGCCCAAGAACTGAAAACTGGAAAGATACATCGAACTGAAGAGGTCCCTGCGGAAGCATCCACCTATGGAAGAGTGTAGGCTCGTCCTTGAGCCCCTGAGCCATGCTATGAATTGCCATGATAGTCTGACTGACGTATAGAAGCAGTAGGAGTAGAACCCCTGGCTGGATAAGTGCCAACTGGCGCCACTGGCGCCACTGGCTGTGGTGCCTGGGAACTCTTAAACCAAACTAAACCACTGCAGACTGTGCCTGTGCTGGTACCATCTGTGAATTTGTGCCACTACGTGGCTTATTCAACAACTTTGGGCAATCCTTATTGAGATGACTTAGTTGCCAGAAGCAAGCTCCCTGCCCTGTTCTTGTAGAAACTGATGACTGACTGGCCTGTGGTCGAAGCTGTGGGCAGCGAGGCTTGATGTGCCCCGGCTACTGACAATGGTGACAGATCACACCCCAAGTTGATCCCGAAGATACAGGGATAATGGGTGCGGAATGAATCTGCTGTGGTACCCCCTGTGAGTGCATACTATTCCTTGCCTTAGCCTTCTTCCTCTAACTCCCGAAAGATGATAGAGTGTCTCCGCGAGGCTACTTATGTGAACCCCTAACTCGTAACTGATCCCGTTCCTCTGCCTCAGCTAGCATAGCCCTCTGGACCACCTCTCTGTAAGTCCTCAAATCAAAAATTAAGACCCGTGGCCTGATGTCAAGATGTAGTCCATCCTGAAACTTCATTGCCCTGGCCTTATCTGTCGCCACAATATCCTTAGCATAACGAGAGAGAGAAGTAAATCATGTCTCGTACTCAATGACACTCATGGTGCCCTGATAAAGACCTGTGAACTGTATCCTCATCTCCTGCCTCATAACCCTAGGAAAGAAGTGCTCGAAGAAAAAGTCTCTGAACTCATTCCATGTCATCAACTCAATATTGTGGACATTAGTTATAAACCTCCACCAGATGTCTGCATCTCCCATGAACATAAAAATAATTAAGGAAATCCTCAACCTGTCCGTGGGTACGGCCATATTGTCCAACTTGCGAACCATAAGGTCCAACCAAGCCTCTGAGACTAACGGATCTGAACTCCCTACAAATGGGTCAATCTTAACCCTCTGTAGTCGCATGACGTACTCCAGTGCCTCATTGACTATCGGTGCCGGTGCCGGTGTCAGAATCTGTATTCCTACCACCTGCCTACGTATCAATTACTGTAGAGATTTTGCAATCCCCTAATTGATTCCTTGAGCCACCCGCTCCTTGTAAGTCGGTGCCAATGACGGATTAGCATCCACACCACGAATTGAAATTCTGGGCCTCACTGGACCCCTTGTAAACTCGGTGTCATTCATGTACTCCTCAATGCCCTGACATGAAGACTCTCCACATGTGACAACCATGATGCTAGATATACGAAAGGAAAGAAGTCAATAATAACACAAGTTATTATGACCGAATGCAATTCACACTACGAGTGCATAAAACACGAAGCAAGAAAAGGTATGCAACATACAGTCATGCTAAAGCAATCGAAGAAAGTCTTTAGACAGTTAAACACTTAAGCAAATAAGCATACATGTCAAACAAAGATGCTTCTTAAACACATAAACATATAAGCATAGAGACATGTCATAATACCAAACGTATTATCAAAAAACACATAAACATGTTACAATGCCAAAACATGTTACCGAAGGCATGTGAAAATATCAAAGTAGATCAACAAAAGCAAGATATGAACCCAAAACCCGTCGTCCTAAGGTATTCAAACCTAGGAACTCTGATACCATTTACGACGACCCTAGATTTTTACAAACCCAGTGTGTCCTGTGATAACCCGAAATGAATCCAAAATGCAGAAGCAAAACTTAAACAAGTCTATAGAGATATGTACCTCATCCCTGAGACACAAGAACAACCTTCCGAGGAGTCCCGGGACTTAGCGGAAGCAAGACCAGAGTTAGGGTTCTAAAACCCTCTAAGGAATGAACCAAAGGCAAAATGGTCATTCCAAACTAAAATGGGTACCATTGTGCATACCATTGGAAAGACAACAAAAAAATAACAAGGATGGACTCAAGAATCACTTGATACGGAGTCCAGACGGCAAAGATATCAAGTCTTAAAGTCGAAGGAAGAGAAACCCCATCCTGGTTCAAACCAAATCCTGACACTACCTCACTAAAATTTGAATATCTTATGCTACAAGTAGAATTTGAAGCTGTAATTGGTACCATTTGAAAGCTTATTTCGATGCGGTCAATTTAGACTCAAGAACAGACTAATTCGAAGTTAAAACGAATGAGATATGATGATTTGAAGTAAAAGATGCAGTGCTAAAAAAAAGAATGGACGAGCGTTCATCCAAGGGCGATGAGTGCTCATAAATGAGCACGCCAAGGTAGTGCCCACTGCCCTGATTACGAACGCTCGTCCCCCATGGACGAGCGCTCGTCCTGCAGACAAGCAAAACAGCTTTTTGAACTTGAAATGTGATTTGAGGACTTTTCGGACCTTTTTCGGAAACAAGTTGTGAAGTAACCCCCCCTAAAATCATGTTTTCTGGTCAACCATGTCAAGTCCAACATTTATTTTTCAAGTGACATACCAAAAATGACCTTAAGATCAGATTTAGCAAAAATGTGAAAATGAATGCCACTCTAAGTGTTCATTTCATCAAGAATGGTGTTGTGTTCTAAAGTAAACATGCACACATATGTAAAATGATATATTAGACGCGCTACAATGGCCTTCGGCCTCATTACAATCCATTTACAAATTTTGACATACAAAACCTCCAATTTTCATAAAATATGCTCTAATGGCAATACTTGTGTTTTAAAATATACTTGTGAACTTTAAAGTTAATGGCCTCGGCCTCATGTCATACATACAAAATAAGCATTGACATGTGTACTTAGATACACATTACACACCAAGGAAGTCATCCTAGCTTCTAAAATACCATACATTCATGGTATACAAAATATATCATCCAAAAATAAAGCATTCTAAACAAGTGCATGTCAATATACAAAATTGTTCCAAATTGTTCATAAGCCACTAAGGATGATGAGCATCTGAGAACATAGTCTTTTTACCTGTAAAATAACCTAAACAACTAGGGTGAGTAATCAAGTTATTCGCAGGAATAAGCATATGTGTATACCCTAAAGTTTCAACATTATTGCAAGATTAATATAGACGAATACAAGGGATCATTCCACTTAACATCTATATTTAAGGTGTTCTAAGGGATCATCTTAAGCTAACTTAAATGATTCTTTAACAACACAATATCAACATCAATGTACTTAACATCAATTCGCCAATAACCACAATCACAAGTCACAATTAAGCACTGGTTTTCAACTTGGAATTGAATGCGAAATCAAATAGTGGAAAACTTGGACATCAAATCTCGAATAAAGCCAAAACATAAATGGTTATTCCGGGCATTAACCCGCTAGGAATACCACCCTAGTGCGCACTATAAATGGGGAGAACTCATACCTCCCGCACTAGAGCCAAACTCTAGCCATGTTATTTGTAACAATGTCCCAAAAGAATCCAAAATATATCAAGTTCAAAACTCATACACAATTATTAAGGCATATATACCACCTTTCATGCACAAGTATTTTGAAACCACACAAACCATGTCTTAGGGTTCCAAGTCTAGAATGGCATGATAAATGACAAGTCCTCCTCATGATATAATATGCAATACAATACCACTAACTTATCAATTCAAATCATGCCTCATCAATAAGCTTTATATACTAAATCTTAACATTATAGTAATAAGCCTCTAAAATAATTACAAATAGTAACCAACAAGTATATAGAATTATCATTCTAATAATTATAACAATTCAGTTTAACAAGACTTGCATATAACATCAATAATTCTAAAAGAGTTCAATATCACTACCATATGTGAAAATACTAGTATCTAGCATACCATTAAATCATATACTCTTTCTACACAAGATATATACATATCATACGCATTAAATCAATAAACCTTAAGTCAAGATGTGAGGGTTTCCTATAATATGCAAGACTATCATATTAAAAGCATGTACACAATATATATTAAACCTCAAAGGACTTAAAACAGTTGAAGTATAAACGTACTACCACCCCTACCTCAATAGATAATTGAATCTGTATAATCCAAAGCAACCAAGCTCAAAATGGAAAACAAATCTAAGGTTTTGTAGAGGAGAGTGAGAGGAAACTTTTACTTCCCAAGGTTAATGGTCTTAGCTGAGTGGAAGGAGGCCAAAATGAAATAAGAAGCTCTACACCAAGCTTTCCTTCAATGGTGGTTAGGTTAGGGTTTTAAGAACAAGTGAAATGAAAAAGATAAAGTAAAATGTGGTGAGTGGAGGATCTAGTATTCCTCTATTTATTGTGTGCTGTTACACTACCTCTCTCACACACACAATGCAAGACTTAATTTGGTGCCTACACTTGTCACCAATGCATGGTTCCTTCCTAGGCTTAATACTAAGCCTACACTTGTCACCATCCAAGCCAATAAGTGCACCTATCCAAGGCCAATAAGTGAGTGAATCTCCACCCTTTACTTGTCATAAGATTATGCTTCCAAGTAGCTCCACCTTAATGCCAACAAGTGGCTCATAAGAGTGTGACACTTGTCACACTTTCCAAAAATTACAAAAAGGTCCTTTTACAAAATATCTTCCAAATTAAATTGCAAAATGGTCCTTAAGACGAAAAATAAATACTTTGCATAATTACACTAAAACCCCAAAAATTAAAAATATTTCCAAGAAAGTATGCATCCATACCCTTTACGAAAAAGTAAATAACTAGTATGTATTTTCTACGAAAGTAAAAATACAATTACTTTGGAAATCAAATATAATGGATGCATGCAAAGCCGGAATCAAATTCGAGCACAAAAAGTGAGGTTATGCAAAGGAAAACGATAAACAGGAAAAAAACGAAATAGAGAAAAGAACTAAAAAATAAATTACCGAAAAAAAAAGAAAGGAAAATGACCGGGTCATTACACTTTACATGAGCTCCATTATTAGCTTGGACATTTAGTGGTGGAGGCGGCACAAAGAATAGCCTAGGCATTCCAATTTGTACTTGGCCTTATGGTTGAGGAGCAAAAGGTCAAGGCATGCCTATTGGAACTTGCATATTATCATATTATTGCACATTAGGATGGAGAATGCCTTGTTGGTCTATATGACCAACGTCTTCAATATGGTCATCCATTGATGCAATGGATTCATTTGAATTGCCCCTACCCCTTGGATTGCGCACAATTAACTCAAGATTAAGATTCAATAGAATAAGAGGAGGATTTAAATACCTACGACCATTCATGAACAATGCAAATCAACACAATCAACAACACAACAAATAGCAAATACTTCTCCTCTACAACACAAATCAATCAACAACAAGCCTCCACATACAATGATCCCATACTCCCATGCTTTTCAACAAATGCAAAAAGTAAGTTACCTCCACACGGGCCGATGATAAACAATGAAATAAAATTGTCTCCACACAAGCTGATGATTTGAACTATGTAAGAGGAGTTTAGAATAACTCATAAAGATCCTTAAGCAACTTCAAGAATTTTTAAGCTTTTTGCTTTGCTTTTGCAATTTTTTATTTTATGTTTTTTATGCTTGCTTTGAAGTTCCTTTGCTTTGCTTCCCTTACTCCAAATACCTAGTCAAAGAGTGACAATGTGAGAAATAAAATAAAAATAAAGTAAAGCACAAATCAAAGGAGTACTAATTCCTAATCAATCCCTAGTAATGCATTGCTAATCCTCGGAAATGGTGCCAAAACTTGACGAGGCTGTCGCTTGCACATGCCAAATTAATGTTGTGAGTGTGGTTCAATTAAAGTCTTTTTGGTCAAATTTGAATTTATAAAAACCACTACTACTTTTACTATTAACATAACAAGAGTAAGTAAGGATCGTCCCAAGGGATTTACAAGATACTACGAAATCAATATTGGATTAGTAGGTTGAATGATCAAAGAAGGGTTTGGTTGGTTGAATTAAGCTAATGATTCAATTAAAAACATGCAAATTAAGAACAATCTAGAGGTTAAGGTATAGAGAATGAGAGAATTTTTGGGGTATAGAGTTCATCACTAAGCTTCACTTCACTAAACATTTAGCATTTGTCAATTTAGGGGGATTCCATATTATAAATGAAGTGTGTGTGTCATTAATTGAAATACTAAATATGGATGGAAAATTAAGCATAATTTGTCTAATCAATCTAGTGAGTAGTATAACCTATCAAACTAAACTATTAACCATTCAATAAACCCACAATTAATGCACATACAAAAATCTAGAGATATATACTAGTTACACTCATAAGCATGGATCATCAAACAACAAGAATGGATTGTCTACCTATCTAGGAATTTAAAGCAACTACACTACAACTAGACTAATGACAAGGATATTAAACTAATTAAGCTAAAGAGGTGGCACAATCCATCAAGAAATAAGCATACTCCATCAAATAAACCACAAGAGTAATCAATTAAGCTCCATGCCTTGACCATTACTAGATTTACAATTCCAACACGCATAGACATGCATCAAGCTCATAAAATCTAGTGTAAGCACATAACCATTCATTCTAGCATACATAGACATATGAATAAAAATAAAAGATCAATTGGAAGAATTGATCCATACAAATCATGTAAAAACTCAAGATCTATATATATTCATGGTCAAAACATTATTTATAACATAAATCCCCAAAAATTACAAATACTAAGTTTAGGAAGCAAGCCTAGGGGTTATCTCTAGCCCCAAGAGGGGGATTTAGCCACTCATGGTTGGTGTCATCCAACCCTCAAAGGCTATCTTCAAAGTAGGTACCATCTTCTTCCTTTTTGCTTTGCTCCAAAAACCTTAATTCTAGAGAGAGAAAAATATCTAATAGCTATGTCTAAAAGTTGGAATAATTGGGAACCAAAATTAGCAACCCTATACAATTGGTTTCATTTGATTTAAATACAAGCCTCTTTGAGTAGGTAACAAGCCAGAAAATAGGTCTTTGATTGGTGCAAACTCGTAGCTACAAAAGTTGGTGGAGTTCGGGCGCGCTCGGGAATTAGACAGCTCACTGCCAGCAGGATCTTCGATCGATTGAAGCTTGTTTCGATCGATCGAAGGTGACGTGGCAAAGATATTTTGAACTCTGGCAACCTTATCCATTGAGCTAGCACTACCTTCTTTTCGATCGATTATAGATATCTTCGATCGATAAGGGTTTCCTTTGATCGATCGAAACTTGAACAGTGCAGTATTTTTTTTAACTTCTTCTGAATTTTCTTCTTGACTCCAAAAAGGAGCTAAAAGGCTCTTTTTAGCCTATTTGAACCTTATTGACCTGAAATAGACAAAAACACAAATTAGAACTAAAACGGAGAAGTAAGATAGATGAATGGACTAAAATACCCTAGCTTAGGTGCTAAAATGCATCACTTTTGAGAAGTTATCACAGTCCTACAGGGAAGGTACTCTTCTATTTCGGATACCCTAATGTTGAGGCAATAGTGGATCGTTTCATCATTCAATACTCTACACCGAACTCCAAAACTCTCCATCGAGGCTCATCGTGATGCCAGCATTCGTGGACTCAATTCACAACTCACTCGATTTCTGAATGAGTTAGAAGTTGAGAAAAGCTAGCCAAAGCTGTTGCTGGTGGGAAGCCCCAATTGACAAGCTCGGATTGCTAAAGCTTAAACAGCTTAGGGACTCCATGGAGGAGCTTAAGAAGAATGTTACAAATCAAACTGACAAGTTTTTAGTCAAGGCTAGAAATGGTTCGTCTTTTTTTGCAAAGAATAGTACTGGATTCGTTGTTCCTTTTGAGAAAAAACTTAATGATTTGAGCCATATCGATTCAAGTAGTACTTTTCAAGTGCAAGCATCGTGTTGTCCGAGCAAATGGATTGTTCATTACGTTTGGAGGCCGTATTCGACAATTATACTAATCATTGACCCCTAACATTCTTGCCCTGAAATTAAAAAATAATAATAATAATAATACTACACTACTCGAGTTCTCTAGAGTTTTGGATATGGTGGTCATGGATTTTTCTGAATTTATATTGTTTGTTATTGGTGGCAGTTTCAAGTTAGTATCCACTAGACTATGATGTCAATTTAATTTTCTATTTTTCAATTGTGTGTACTTAAATGGTGATGAATTTTCACCTATCTAATGTTCATTAATGCAATAATGAACATGGTATTTATTCTTTTATTTTCAGTTACAATTAAGATTGCTTACATTATTTTTGGATCTCTCACCGAGGGATGCACAACCAATTTCCATTTGATATTGATTGATGATTACGATGATATGATTCATATTTTAGATTCTAAATGTATTATATGATTTAATTAGTTACAACATGAACTTTTAGAATTTGTGATATGGATGCCCAGGGAAGTACACCTCCCGAATCTTTCCAATGCCGCTATACCCAAGGGCGAATCCAGCATTTCTGAATAAGGTGGGCTGAAGCCCACCTTCGTCTTGAAATTCAGAAAAATTAAAATTATATTCGATGTTTTTTTACTCACGGTGTTACATCCAATTTATAGAATAGGACCTAACAAAAATAGGTAACTAATTACCTACCAATCAGCCCTAAATCAGGGAGTAAATATTTCAATCCTACAACTATACTATAAGAGATAAAATCTCAACACTCCCCCTCAAGTTGGTGCATAGATGTCACACATGCCTAACTTGTCTAAAATTTTGGAAAACACTTGATTTGAGACTGCTTTGGTGAGAATGTCGGCTAGTTGATCCTCAGATCGAATCTTTGCCAACTCCATATTTTTTCCATCTAACTTCTCCTTAATGAAGAATCTGTTTACTTCGACATGCTTCATACGATCATGTTGAACTGGATTATGGGAAATATCACATGTTGCTTTATTGTCACAATATAGTCGAATAGGTTGCCTAGGTATATAACCCAAATCCCGCAAGAGTAGTCTTAACCACAATGTTTCACAAAGTGCAAGAGCCATACCTCTGAATTCAACTTCGGCACTCGAGTGAGCAACAACATTTTGTTTCTTGCTTCTCCATGTAACAAGATTACCTCCTACAAAAGTAAATTAACCAGAAGTAGATCGCCGATCATCTATAGCTCCAGCCCAGTCAGCATCAGTATATGCATCTATGTTTTGATAACCAGCATTTTTAGTGAACAAAATTCCTTTTCCAGGAGCAAATTTCAAATACCTCAAAATGCGCATAACTGCATTCATATGGCTAACAATGCTCAATGCATAAGCCAGATCCGGTCTCGTATGTGATAAGTACATCAATCTCCCTACAAGTCTTTGGTATCTTCCTTCATTAGCAGGTACTTGATTGGACTCAACACATAACTTCAGTCCTTCTTCCACTGGTGTCTCAGCTTGTTGACATGCTGTCATGCCAATCTCTTGTAATAGATCTAAGGCATATTTTCTTTGAGATAGAAAGATTCCTTTATTAGATAGAGATACTTCAATCTTAAGAAAATATCTCAAAGAACCTAGATCTTTCATTTCAAATTCTCTGGACAAGTACTTCTTGAGAGCCTTCATTTCTTCAGGATCATTCCCTGTAACCACCATGTCATCTACATATACAATGAGTGCAGTGATCTTTCCCTATTGTTTCTTCAGAAATAATGTATGGTCGGAATTGCTCTGACAGTAGCCAAAGGCTATCATAGACTTTGTGAATATAATGATTTCTTTAACCTACAGACCTTCCGACTATACTTTTCGGGTATCATGCATCCTGGTGGGAGATCTATGTAGACTTCTTCAGATAATTCACCATGCAGAAAGGCATTCTTCACATCGAATTGTTGCAATGGCCAATCCAAGTTCGCAGCTAAAGACAACAAGACTCGAATTGTGTTGATTTTGGCTACGAGTGCGAACGTCCCTATGTAATCGATGCCATAGGTTTAGGTGTAACCTTTCGCCACCAATCTTGCTTTAAAGCATTCAACTGTGCCATCGGCTTTATACTTCACAGTGTAAGTCCATCAACATCCAACTGGTTTCTTTCCTGGTGGAGGATCAATGAGTTCCCAAGTTTCATTTTTCTGCAAGGATTTCATCTCCTCATTCATAGCTGCTTTCCACCTATGGTCAGCTAAGACTTCCTGCACACTATTAGGAATAGATATAATAGATAATTGATTTACAAATGACAAATTTGATTCTTACAAACGATGGTTCGACACATAATTGCTCATAAGATACTTAACTTTACTAGAAAGTTCGGGTTCATATGTAGGTTTAGGAATACCTCTTGTGTGACGCGGTGGTAATTGTTTTCTGAGTGGCTCATGCACTAACTCAAGAACATTCTTAGCAAGGATTGGTTTGATATGTCAGTTGCGAAGGACTTGAACTCGGACAACGATGGGCTTGGAGCCATACTTTCCATTGGTGTTGGTGCCATACTTTCCATTTCTGGGCGTTCATCACCACTTTGATACAAACTTATACCACTTGAATCCAATTTGCCCAATTCCTGATTGGTTGGGCTAACTTATGAGTCATCAACACTAGAATCGCCGTCCTCAAAAGTGTGATAATCATAATCTAGAGTCTAAATTTCGTTCTGGTACTCCCCCTGAAGTTCAGACGTAGAGAAAAAATACATTGAGTCTTCATGGAAGACAACATCCATTGTGATATACATTCATCGAGTTAGAGGGTGATAATAGTAATACCCCTTTTGATGAGTAGCATATCCGAGAAAAACACATCGCAAGGCGCGAGGAGTTAGCTTGTTGCGTTGATGCTTATGGAGGTGTACAAATGTTACACAACCAAAGACATGAGAAGGTAGATTTTGGACCGTTGGGGCAACAACTGCGTCAGTGAGAGCTTGCAGTGGTGTTCAGAAGGCAATAGAGCTGGAAGGTACTCGATTGATGAGATATGCTGCAGATGTAAGTGCTTCTCCCCAATACGATAATGGCATATGCGCTTCTATCAATGAAGCACGAACAACCTCCAACAATTGTTGATTTTTCCGCTCTGCGCACAACCCCGTTCTGCTGGGGTGTATTGGAACAGGAGGTTTGATGAATAGTTTTATGTGCTTCCAAATACTGTTGAAGGTCACTACTCTGATATTCTCCACCATTGTCACTACGGAGAACCTGAACATGTGCATTGTATTGAGTTGCAACCATTTTATGAAACTTCTGAAATAATAAAGCCACTTCACCTTTGGACTTCATTACGCACAACCAGGTGACTTTGGACGGACCCTAAACATCAGAATGTACAATCATAAAATGAAGCGGACTTTTATGCAAACATAATGGATACGAAACACGGTGGCTCTTTGCTAGTGCAAAAACATCACAGCGGAAACTAGAAACATCACATTTTTCAAACAAACTAGGAAAAAAAAAAATTCAGATAACCAAATGAAGCAAGCCCCAGACATTGATGCCACAGCCAAATTTCAGATTTTTTTTCCTCCCCCTCAAAACAATCCACTGTCAATGCTTGTCGTAGCTTGTTGGAACTTTTGGACATCAAGTCCAAGTAATACAATGTAATACCCCTAATTTTAAAATGATAATCTTGGTATTTAAATTATTGTTTAAAATTGCTTTTGTTTTTTCCTTTGGTTTGATTTACTTATTTTAATTATTTTAAGCTGCATTTGTTTACTTATTTGTTTTAATTACTGAAATTGTTTTAAATTAATTTGGTTACTTGTTTAATTTACTTCAATTTAATTAAGTTAATTTGTTTAATTGATTTGTTTTAATTAATTATTTTATTTAAGGATTTAATTGTTTTAAGTGAAATTAAATTTAATTGGATTCGTTAAATTATATTTAATTGGTTTCAGTAGGTTGTAACGTGACTATAATTTATGGGGTTTATAGTTTTTCATAGACAGCCGACAGTGTATAACCTAGGTTTGCCTATGGACCGTATTATACATGGATTATGGTTTAAAGTTTAAGGTTATAAATAGGCTTATAGGTGGTTTAGGGTTGAAGGGGAAAGAAAATAAAACCGTGGGTTTTCTGTGGAGGCATAGAGGAAACAGAGAAGGAGAGAGCACACAGAGGTTCACCGGAGAACTTGGGAAGAACCGTCGGTGTAAGGCAAGTTTTATATCTAACTCAATCCCTTAGGTTGCGTGTTCTTTGCATCACTAATTCAGTTCCAAGAAGTAATAACGTTAAATTAATATGGTTGCACAGTTAGTTGTTTCAAAACAGTATGTTTCTATGCATGCGTTTTTCTTCCGTCTATAAACTGTTTTTGCTTGTTCTTCTTTTGGATAAATTTTTATTAACAAAGAATGAATTTAAATAGCTTTAGAAAACCTTGGGGCTTAGTTTTAATCAGTAGTGAAGTTGGTTTAGAGGAACAAAGCGGTCAAATACTGCCGGAGTGGAAGGAGACGACGCACAGAGGAGGAAATGGGTCACCAAAGCACAGAGCAGGCTCCACACAAAGTGGAGCCGGCTCTAGGATTTAGTGGAGGTGGCTCCACCATTATTTGGAGGCAGCTCCACTTTGTGTGGAGCATGCTCCTCCCAGTTTTTCAGTTTTTTTATTTTGGTTTGTTTTCTACGAACCTAGGCTACTGTACATGGATGTTTGAAGTTTCCAGAATGTATTAGAAGTGGTTCTAGGGGAAATTAGTGATGTTTAAACCCTTGGTAAATTTGCAGAAGGCATGGAAATTCATAAATTATCATAAGAGGCTAAACAGGAATATAGTCTGAAACTCAATAGGGTAGTTTTCAGGTTTATTTTGATGGTGATGATCAGAATTGCTTAGTTTTGAATTAGCAATTTTAACTTAGAATTTATATGTTTAAATCATGTAACAATGATCTGAGATTAAGCATGTCAATTAATATAAATTCGGTTAATGCTTAAGGTTAAACTAGTTGATATTTTTCGAAGAACTATGTATATCAACTTATGGGATGTTGCGGGGTGGTTATTAGTAAGCATGTTAATTCTGTTCTAATTATTACTATGCTTATTGTGGATTATAGAATGGTTACAGTTATTCTCGGATATTTATATTTGTTAGAGAATTAAGTACTGGATGTATTGAAACA